GAGAATATTTGGACCGAAGAGGGATGAAGTGACAGGAGGTTGGAGAAAACTGCATAATGAGGAGCTTCATAACTTGTACTCTTCTCCAAGTATAATTAGAATGATCAAGTCAAGGAGGATGAAGTGGGTAGTGCAAGTAGCATGAATGGGGGAGAAAAGGAATGCATATAGGATATTGGTGGGAAAGCCAGAAGGAAAGAGACCACTGGGAAGACCAAGCATAGATGGGTAGACAATATTAAAATGGATCTTAGAGAGATAGGATGTGATGGTATGGATTGGATTGATCTGGCTCAGGATAGGGACCAGTGGAGGGCTCTTGTGAACACGGTAATGAACTTTCGGGTCCCATAAAATGCTGGGAAGTTCTTGAGTAGCTGTATGATTGGTGGCTTCTCAAGAAGGGCTCAGCTCCATAAATAAGTAAGTAAGGGTATTACTGATGTGAGATTTTAGGCTCTCATAGAAGTTAGGCATACTCTGAAACTTACCGTTGAGTCTGGTGTATTTACTAGTATTCTGGAGGAAATTTCTGCATCCATCTTATACCTACCTCATCTGCCCTGATTATGGATTGTACATTATTCCCACAGTTCTTGGTTCTAAAATTAAACACCTTGCTCACTTACTGGCCCATGCACCATCCCCAACATTTTCTATCCTACATATTTAACATAACTTTGCCTGTTTCAGGGAATGAAAGACATTGCGAAAGATAAGAACAAGCAAAAGACAGCAGAGGAAGTGAAAGCTGAGTCCTTGAAGTAAGTGACTTTCTTACCCATCTAAAGCAGCCGCATGAAATTTTGTATTGATTGCGTCAAATATGGAAGATGGTTGCTATACCGTCTCAAATGCAACTTTTGTTTGAATGTATAGTTATCTTTGCGTGGAATTCTTTTTCTGGCTGAATTTTATTGAAGCTATTTACAGTTTCATCTACCAGACTACACAGTGTCATAACAAGAAAACCACAATATGAAACAATATGGAACAGAGTAGAGTAAATTCCTGATTATCTGGTAACCAGGCATGTGGGATTCTCATGTGCCTGGCAAACATTTCAGTTATCATTTTTATACAGTGTTACATAATGTCTCGGTAGACTGTACTCTTCATAGTGTGAGAATCCCAAATCCAAAATACGCTATGAACTTTGAAGGAACATACTGGTTTATGGTCAGTGTGTAGTTTGGTGAGACCTGAGCTGTGAGCTGCACAAGAGGGATTCAACCGTGTCTGCTAGTCGTGTAGCCAAAGCTGCTATGCAACTCAGTGTGATATCTCATGTCCTGCCAAAGAGCCTGCAGGTAGTGCATTGGATGAAGGTTCTCCGTAAGAAGCTGATGGGCCTTCAGCTATTCATAAAATTTCCTGCAGTTCAAGGTACACAAGCACCTGCTGCTGGGCTGTATCCTGAGTCAGTTGAATCTAGTCCACATTTTCATGGTGGGGGGGTGGAGTCCAGCTGGGTCCAATTGGCATGGCAGCCACTCATTGGCCTGTTGTACCTGCCCTGGGTGATTATGATGATGGAGTNTACACAAGCACCTGCTGCTGGGCTGTATCCTGAGTCAGTTGAATCTCATCCACATTTGCTTAGTGGGTGGTGGAGTCCAGCTGGGTCCAGTTGGCATGGCAGCCTATTGTACCTGCCCTGGGTGATTATGATGATGGAGTATTTGGTGGAATGAAGATTGGCAGGGGAAACCAAAGTACTCGGAGAAAACCTGCCCCAGCACCACTTTGTCCACCACAGATCCCACTTGATCTGACCCGGGATCGAAACCGGGCCACTGTGGTGGGAAACCAGCGACTATCCGCTTGAACTATGGCACGGCCAATCTAGTCCATATCCTCATGTCTTGTTTCTTTAAGGACCATTTTCATTAATTTCTGTGCCATGTAAAACTCTTTTTTTGCTCTTGCAGACCGAAGAGATGGGATGAAACGCTTGAGAAACCTCCACTTGACTACTCTGAGTTCTTTGATGATGATGCCGGTCAGATCCCAGGACTTTCCATCTGGGAAATTGAAAATTTCCTTCCTAACCAAATTGAGGAGGCAGCACATGGAAAATTTTATGAGGGTGACTGTTACATAATCCTTAAGACCTCTGTTGATGATACTGGGTCTCTTGCATGGCAGATCTACTTTTGGATTGGTGACAGGGCAACAGTAAGTACTGCAACCAACCTTGTTGAAGGGCTTTTGTTTGTCTAACTTAAATGACTAACTAGAACTATTAACAAAATCTGAAGATTGAACACTGCCGATACCAGAACCACTGGACCGAATTATAAGCTAGTTCCATTCATCTGTGACAACTGGTTTGGCATAATGGTACTGCTCTGCACTCATTCTGGAGGTGATTGGTTTGAATCTTGCCCAGGACAGCAGCTATCCTGGTTTAGATTTTGTGTGGCTGTGCTCAGTCCCTCGAGGCAAATGCCAGGATTCTTCCTCATTTAGGCTACAGCCACTTTCTAACACGTATTTCCAATTCATTTATAATAGCTGCTGACAGCATTCTAAAATAAGCCACAGAAAGAAAGTGTTATTTGCTGTCCATGTTTAATTTATTGTTTTTCACGATGGCTGACATACCTTGTTCATTCTGAATCTGCATCATGCTTCATGTATTACAGCTGGACAAAAGGGCCTGTGCAGCTATACATGCCGTAAACTTGCGTAACTACCTGGGTGCGCAGTGCCGGACAATCCGGGAAGAACAAGGCGATGAATCCGACGAGTTCCTCGGTCTCTTTGACACAGATATTGCCTACATTGAAGGTGGTCGCACTTCCAGTGGGTTCTTCACTGTTGAAGATATGGTAATTATTTAATCATGCGTATCTACGTTATGTAAACAGGAGACTGCAGAAAATTACTTAGTAAAGAGTTTAATAATTTATCATGTTCTTCAAATATTATTAAGGGAAGAGAATCAAGGAAGATTAGATGAGTGGTACATGTAGATATGTTACTGCCCTCCTCCCTGGTTGCTACATGTCCTGCCCATCTCACTGTTCTTGATTTTTGCTTCATCTGTTGTAGGTCCACATGTTATCACTGTGTGGTAGAATGTTTATAATGAATTTAAAATATCAGTAGCTATAGGTGTAAACTACAGAAATACAGCTTAAATAAATCTACTGGCTATTTGGCCCCTTACCTTTCAGTATGCTTCATACAAATAGTTCTTACTTGCCAGTCGTCTTTCTCTGTTTACTTGTTGGGTTAAAGTATTGCTCTTTGTGCCATGTTTGCTTAAGTACAGTGTTCAGGAACCCAAAGACAGGATTTGTCAAGCTGTATAGTCTATTGAGACACATACCTTGTGCAAAGCATGGGATCAGTTCATTATCATTTAGATGTCATGGCTACTCCCCTGGAGTACACACTATGTACCTAATGGGTTTGAAGAGAATTTTTGAGTTACTGCCTCCAGCACTGTAACGCTGGTTTTTATGTCTTCTTAGTTTACTTACAGTACATTTTTGATAATGTTCCGTTGTTTTGTGGCATGCCCATATTTTACAGAGAATGTCCAAGTGTCCCTGTAAAACATCGTGGGTCTCATAACAGTAACATGAATATCTTACAGACCTACGTGACTCGCCTGTATCGAGTACATGCTTCAGGTTGCTCTTCCATTCATCTTGAGCCTGTCCCAGTTTCTGTTGAGTCTCTGGATCCACGATTTGTATTTGTGCTTGACACCGGTCTCAAGATCTTTATGTGGTATGGCAAGAAATCAAAGAACACCTTGAAATCAAAAGCCAGGTATATCTTCTTAGAAGTAAATTGTTTATTGTCTTTTGTGTGTGTGTGTATAAAATGGACTGCCTCTGTGGTCTAGTGGTTAGAGTTCCTGGCTACAGATCCAAAGGTCCTGGGTTCGATTCCCGGCGCTACCAGTTTTTCTGAGAAGTAGTGGGTCTGGAATGGGATGAGCTCAGCCTTGTGGGTATAATTGAGGAGCTATTTCAAGGAAATAGTGGCTTTGGTCTAGAAAACTGAGATTAACGGCCATGGGGATCCATTGCGCTAACCACGCTACACCCTCTATCTGCAAAAGTTGACACTAACTTTGCTGACAAGTGGCGGTTGCTCGGTTGGTATACTTCAGTTGTGGACTACAAGCCATAGAGTTTGTTTGTTTGTGTGTGTAAAATATTACTAGGTTTATTCCATGTAAAGATAGTAGAATTGTACTCATGACACATTTAAGTGTCTGTGAGAATTGGTTCTGTAGAAGTTCATTCATGCAAGTACAGATGTACAGATGTAGTGAGTGTCACAGTTAAGTGGGTAGCACTCCTGCTTTATATTCAGGAGTTTGCAGTTTCAAATCCTGGCCTGAAATCAGTTGTCCTGATAGTCCTGTCCTCTGACCAAACAAACATGCCAGGATAGTACCTGAACACTATAAAATTATTTGATTGTACAGTCCAGTGTGACTCAGATGTGTATATATATATAATGCCTTTACATGTTTCGGTCAATTAATGACCATCTTCAGAAGGCAAACAACAACATGTTAAGGAAACTATTATTACATAAATCATACTACATCAAGTTCAGAATTGTCCAGAGTTTAGTATATAAAGATTTTAACCTTTATCGGACGGGCCATTTAATTTCCGGTAGGGGCAGCTGGACGGAGTTTATTTAAAGGCCCGCCCTTCTAGAGCAATAAAATTGTAAGCATGTTTCTAAAAATGGTGTGATTTCTACATTTTTTATGATAAACGCACGAAATGAACGCTCCTTTAATGTAGAAAGAATATGGAATCAGATATTCTAATTTCCAGATTTTAATATCTGTAAAATTTTTTTACACTGATTCCCAAAAAAAATTTGGCGAAATTCATACATTTTCTGCACCATGCGTTTTAGCAGTGTAATACATTTTCTGCACCATGCGTTTTAGCAGTGTAAGTCCTTGTGGCGACTTCACATTCAATGGTGTCTCTTGTTGTAGCTTATTTATCGTATGGGACAAGTCGGTATGCATGTCACTGTGTAATGTGTTAGATAGATACAGGAGTTAATTCTCGGAATATGGTGTTGCCAGATTGGTCATTCGTTCATTCATTGCAGTCAAACCATTGTGTTTGTAATGATTTTGAAACATCGCAATGTAAGGTTAGCCAGCCATGACATCATGTGCCATGTTTGAAGGAGATATTCAGTTCAGCGAAGACGTGAATGAGATTTTTGTATGTGTGGGCTCGAGGTCATGATGTATGGCTTCTTATCGTGGTCTAAGCACAGAGATTCACTGCTAGAGAGCCGTATAGTTCACCATGGGCACACAACGACGTCGTATGGAAGATGCTGAAATTGAGATACAGCTGTTCAATGACACAGATTCGGACTGCTATTCAACCGATTCTGAGAGTGGCGAGGAAAGTTGGAGTTCTGATGCTGAAATTGAAAAACAGCTGTTCAATGACACAGATTCGGACTGCTACTGAGAGTGGCGAGGAAAGTTGGAGTTCTGATTCCGCGGACGAAGGGTCATCACCTTCATCGGCAACTTGGGGACCGCCAGACCAGTG